TCAAGAGTTTAACATATATATTTATTTTAATTTGAAGTCAAGATATCTTGGCTCTATGATATAATGTTAAACCACTAACTAATAATTGTTAAAAAAAAGTGTAACATAATTATTTATCAAGTAAAATCTCACTATATTCATTTGTTACATAAAATTATGAGACTCTCTGTCTCATTTTATCAAAGTTTCAATAACTCTGACCTTGGTTTCATTTTTTTGATAGTTTCCATCTTTCATATATTTCTATATATACTAAAAATTGTGAATATGGATCTATGAAATTTTAAACTACAAAAAAGGTAAATTAATTTATTTAAAAAAGTGAAATTGGGACTGAGTCTGTTTAGATGAACTTATAATAATTTGAGTCCGTCAAGAAAACTTATTTGAGGGTAAGTCTGTTTTTAATCTTATTAGTAAGGAGTTAAGTCCATTTTTTTTAAATCTCAAAAATACCCTTAACAATGTTAATTTGGTCAGTTATGAAAAGTTGAAGATATTATCTACAAAGAGCTATATATAGAGACTAATAATTGAATATAGGAATGCTTGATTTACAATAATAATTGTCAATTACAAACTTTTCATAACACTTTAAATTCAAATTCAAATTCTTAGTCATTATTTTATTTGTTATACATTTAAATAATCAGTTTTTAACGGTTGAGACGAATTTGAAAGGAAGAAAGGTTAAACTTGTAGTACGAGCTCAAAATTTTGAAAAACTAACATGGACAGTGCACGCTAAGTACTTGATGTTAACATAGTAACATCGGTGTTAGCATAGTAACATCAGTTCAGTAACATCAATTTTAAAACGTAATTTATTAACACATCACTATTTTTTTCATGTTACTATTTTTTATTGAGTATGTTATTACTTTTTTAATGTTGCTTTTTTGAATGCTGAAAAATTGGACGTTTCTTCCTCTGATTATAAGTTTGAATGATACTATTTTTATTTTTAATTTTGTTCAATGTTCTATATTACTATTTTTTTGTTGAACATTGTACTATTTTTGTTGAATATGTTACTATTTTTATTAAACATATTACTATTATTATTTTTAAAAAATATTAATATTAAATGTTACTATTTTTTGTATTTAAATGATATTATTTTTTATGTTTAAATGATACTTTTTTGATGTACTTGAATGTTAATATATATATATAAAACCCACCCCCTTGTCGAGTGGGTTGGCTCTCTTCGACTACAAGGAAAGATGGAGAAAGAAATCCTTTTGATAACCTTCTTTCTTTCTTTTTATCTTTGCCCATGACGTCATTAACTCTTTGGGGCTGGCTGTCTTCTTCGGAGACCGCGGAGTGGTCAAAAGTTTTGTCAAAGAGGTTCCTATGTAGTTGGAAGGGGTTTAGTGGCTAAACTTGACTCAACTCAACGGACTCACACAACAACCAAAGTTGCCTGTAGTTTCATCGCCCTCCGTCTTTTCAATATATATATATATATATAGTCCTAATGTATATATAAATATATATAGATATAAAAGAGAAAAAAAAATTAATATTAGTCAAATTCTTAAAATTTAGGAGTTTTTAATTTTTAATTTTATTTCATTTTTAAAGGAAAGTGATAGTTTGTTAAAATTGACAAAAAATGAACTTCATAGTAAATAAATTTTTTTGACGGACTTAAATCCAAATAAGTTCATACAAGGGGATCAGACTCCAAATTTCCCTTCAAAAAAAGTTAGGGACCATCTCTAATATTGCAATCCGTTAAATAAATTGGCCGATAAGAACCAGGTAAAGTATGATACAAAGAGCTTAATAAGGTTTGTACATGACTTATGTACCATACAAAACTAAGAGTGCAAAATTAAAAGTAGATTTAGTAATAATTAAACAAAATTTTAACAAAAAATAGTGCATAAATTTGACACGATTCAACTTACTAAAACCTATTATACTAAGAGGTGATTGTTAATGATGTACGACTTTGTCTGAGCCAATAGGGTAATAATAAAGTACCAAAAAAATTTGGTACAAAATTATTATTTTTTGAGGTCAAATTTCAGTTTTTAAATGTGAAGTTACAACTGTTTGAAGCAACTTCATATCTGATCAATCGTAACTTCACATTGAAAATGTGTAACTTATACTTAACCTCACAAAATAGTAATTTTAGTTTTTAAATTATAATTTTCATCATATTTTCAATTGTGACTTACACCACAAAAAGATATAATTGGAGCTCAAAAAATTACATATCTAAAAAAAAAACTTAAAAAATTATAAATTTTGGTACATTAAAAGAAAATCGATAACATAGTATTTCTTTTCTTTATTTTTTTGGCTTAACAATTAGGAGTGTCATCTACACTGTGACTATGATATTTATGAAAGATAAATTACTCATTGTTACCACAATTTATTAAATTCTTGATGACCCATGATTTGGGTACATCGATACCAAATGAGGTAGGTTCGTTATTCAGATCACCAAAATGAACGAGTCCAAATTGTAATACTAACCCTAAATCAAATCACTTTAAAACATGTAACACAAATATAAAATACATATTAATTGATTATATATATAATTATATATTATTTTAGATAATAAAAAATTATGCACAACTACAAGGAAAATGGTAACTAACTTAGAAAGTGTCGTATCATGTATTCGTACTCGTACCACGTATCAAAGCAATCCACGGTCTGACCTCAAGGAGTTACTAAAATTTAAACTCAAGACGTTTATATTTACGACTTATTTTTATTTTCACTTTAAATAATGTCGGGGCTGATATTGTAGTCTTTCTCTCCCAATAATTTAGGCTTTTTTCTCTTTAAAAACTTTCGGTGGAAGTTGCATCACATGCAGTCAAAAAGGTGCATCGCAGGTGGGCCGTTGAATATTAAATTTTGGTGGTCAGCAAGCAACATCGGTTGAATTCTTCCTCCTTTCGGTGGAAAATTGAGAAGACCAAGTCTGCCATTATTAGTTTTTAGTGCATCTTACCTAGATCTCCGGTAATTCTATAAACCCACAAATTCGACACGAAATTGATCTGAAATTAAAGAATTGATATTTAATTTTACCGAGCTCAAGTGATAAATGAAGTAATATTGTTAAACCACTCAAAAAAAAATAACTTAACACAAATTTAACTAACCATGACAACAAGAATCTGTTAAACACAACTTACATACCTCACAAACTTAATATGATTGGATTAATATCCGCATGAGAAAATATTTGTTTTTTTCTAACAAGATTTAGATACCGTTTGATAACGTCTCTTTAAATACCTTTTTACTTTTTTTACTTTTGTAAAGTAGTGTTTTGTTTTATATTTTATATTTTTTTAGTCGAAGAAAAGTCAAGAAAAAATGGTAGTCTCTTTTTATACACGGGTAAAGCCATGGTATTCAAGTTGATACCGAACTTCCATTAATCACAGTTCATGATTTTATATTAGATAATGTGAGCGGAAAAATTTCCTCTTATCCTCTGTGAACAATGTTGTCCTTCCCCGAGTGAAGTTTCTTACAAAACAAACAAACTATTCAAGATTAAAGTGTTTCCATCGAAGGCACTTCGATACTTAAATAAGTAGATGTCAATCTCAAAGAACTACATTTTTGAAGGATTTTTCTTACCTTGCACTGAGCATCCTTGCTGATTTATATAGACTTTAGTGATTCCCCTCTCGGGGAAGAAGATGGCACATCCTTCTCCCAGCTGGATTGTCTGTTGGCTCTTCGTAAAATCTCTCTAACGCTCCCTTGATCTCAACTTATGAGCTGTTGGATCCACCTAGCTGGTACAACTACATCCCTTACTCTTAGGCAGTGATTGCGCTATTTGGCCAGATCCTCTTGCTCGGTTATATTACCAATCTAATATAGTTCAATTCGTTTTTATCAAAGCCAAAACTCCACGCGGTTTCTTCTTTTCCCATGTGATAGTTTATCCACGTGGCATAATTTTATACCCCTTCACTTGTCCCCAAAAAACGCATGTCAGCTGTCATTCGACTGACAGTCGTTCCATGTTCTCAGGTTCATCATTGCTTGAGTTCTTGAGACACACAACTGTCTCTTTTCATTAAATGTTGGTCCTTTGGTTTCCCCTTTCAAGTAGTATAAGATGACTTATTTTTCTTTTCTTCGTCCTTTGCTCTTCTTCTCTGTCTATCTTCTCCGGTTCGCCCATTCTCCTTCTTTATCTGTTCCTCTTCCAAATGGCCCGCCTTACGAAAGAAGGTGTCCTAGCTTTTAAGAGCAAGTATAGTATTCCTGAGGATGTCCAGATTCGAGTAGTTGGTGATGACGAACCACTGGTTGGTACAAGGGAATCGATTCCCATTTATACGAGGGCTATTACCGAAGGTGGGGTGAGATTTCCATTGCATCCTTTGCTGTTGTGGGTGCTTTCTGCTACGAAGCTATGCCCCATCCAATGCTGCCCTAACTTCTTCAGGATAGTTATGGGTGTTGCTGCCTTGAACAACCTGTTGAATGTCAACCTAGGCCTTTGGGAAATCCTCTTTTGCTACATTCTGAAGACTACTGGTGACAGTTACTATCTGGCTGTAAGAAGGAAAGATCGGTACCTGGTAACCCATCTCCCAGATTCAAATAAAGGCCATGAGAATGATGTCATTTTTGTCTCTGGGAATTGGGAATACAAGGCAGGAGATACACCTTCTTACCGATGCCCGTATAAAGAAGGCATGCCAGGTGTATGATTGTTTGTTCTGCTTAGTCTCTTTTTTGTTTTCACCCAGTGCGTGGTATACATCTTTTATTCTTTTGCCTTTATATTCAGGGGAGACTAGTAAGGGAAAAATATCTGAGAGCTCGATCAAGATGGATGACCTGAGGAAGGTATGGTCCTTTAACGAGAGCTTATTTTGCCGAGCTGCTCATGCCTTGCTAGGGTATACCCTACGTATCATTCATTCATCGCTATTCCTGCTCAGGCCAACGCCACCCTCGCCAAGGACAGAGCCAAACTACAAGCCATCATGATGTCATCCCTCGTTCTCAACAAAAGACTATCATTCCCTCTAGAAAAAATAGACCAGTAAAGAATTTCCTTAGTTTCATTTCTTCTAGTGAGCCTTGCGAAGCCACTCCTTCGACACTGCATGTTCCTGTTGAATCATCTTCCTTACCTACCCTAACAATCGATCTAACACTCCTTCCTGATCATGCCCCTGCTTCTGTCGATCCACAAGCTGACATCGAGGCTTCGATTCCTCTTCCTGAACCCGCTACAAATGAGATTCCTATTGCCACTCCTATTATTTCTTCACCATCTTGGCCAGCTGATGCCAAGCCCGAGGAGTATTTGACTAAGAAGAGGCGAATGGAGACCCATCCTGCCCCTAAACGGTCCATTCCTACTTTTCGCCCCGTTCTAAGGCGAAAGGCAAGGAAATAAGCATTTGGGACTCGGCCGCCGAGGACATGAATGTTGCGGTAGGGATCGCTAGGGGTGTAATTCTGCCTCGTGACCTGGCTGTGAATGAGGCGGCCTCGGATGATGAGATTGCTCGGCAAGCCATCCAGCAAATAGTTCTGGTATTTATTTCAATCCCTTTTTTCTTTTCAAACTTGAATCGCATACTTATATTCTCTCTACCTTTGAAAAGGGTCTTCAAAAGGTGCATGAAGTAGGGGCCAGGATTGCTAGAAAGGACAAGGCCATGAAAGAGGTGATCCATGATCGTATGTCTGCCTGACCAAGAAAGAATCTGTTGATGAAGAATACGCCAAGCTTGTGAAGAAATGTTGCTCCTTCAGGCTCAATCACTTAGCCTGAAAGATGAGAACAAAAGTTGGCAAAAGAAGTGAAGGAGCTGAAAGCTTCAGAGATTTCCCTCAGCATAGATTTATCCCAAACTCAACTCGAACATTCCTCTTTGCTAGAAGATTTCGACAAGTTCAAAGCTAAGGCCAAGAACCTTGAAGATGCTGCTTTTGATCAAGGGATAGAGAAAGCAGAGAGGGACCTTGCTTTGCAAATTCCTTCACTGGAGCGAGCACATATTTTGCAAAAGGTTGGGTTGCTGCTTTGAAGGCTGCTGAAGTGCCCCCTACTTCTAAACTTTTCTTGTGTCATCCTACACCTAGCTCTTCTAGTCCTCTTATTCTCCCTAAAATTTCATGTAAAAAAAGCACCTTTTTTTAGCACCTATGAAATCTTTTTTTTGTTTTGATAGGCCCTTTTTCTTCCTTTTATTTTTTTTTTATTTTTTTTCTTATGTCATGTTATGATTGGAAACTCTGATTTGGCCAGGTTCCTCGTATTTCTGCTTGTTTAACTAAAAGGTCTTGCTTTGGCCATGTTCGGCCTATCTCTAGAGCTAGGTTCCATACACACCTGCTAGGGACTTTTTCTTGGAAAAAATTATGTTTAGCTAACTACAAGAAGCTTTGGCCTTGCTCGGCCCCTCTCTAGAGCTAGGTCTCAAGCATATTTGGTAGGTATTTTTACTTAGAAATCTTGCTCTAAGAATCTTTGGCCCTACTCGGCCCTTCTCTAAATCTC